CAAGAAAGCAAAGGTAACTGAACTAAATGACTATCGCCCCATAGCACTCACCTCTGTCATCATGAAGTGCTTTGAGAGACTAGTCAAGGATCATATCACCTCTACCTTACCTGTCACCCAAGACACACTTCAATTTGCTTACCGCCCCAATAGATCCACAGATGATGCAATTGCCATCACACTGCACACTGCCCTATCCCATCTGGACAAGAGGAATACCTATGTCAGAATGCTGTTCATTGACTATAGCTCAGCATTCAACACCATAGTACCCTCCAAGCTCATCATTAAGCTTGAGGCCCTGGGTCTGAACCCCGCCCTGTGCAACTGGGTCCTGGACTTCCTGACGGGCCGCCCCCAGGTGGTGAAGGTAGGAAACAACATCTCCACTTCGCTGATCCTCAACACTGGGGCCCCACAAGGGTGCGTGCTCAGCCCCCTCCTGTACTCCCTGTTCACCCATGACTGCGTGGCCAAGCACGCCTCCAACTCAATCATCAAGTTTGCAGACGACACAACAGTAGTAGGCTTGATTACCAACAATGATGAGACCGCCTACAGGGAGGAGGTGAGGGCTCTGGGAGTGTGGTGCCAGGAAAATAACCTCTCACTCAGCGTCAACAAAACAAAGGAGATGATCGTGGACTTCAGGAAACAGCAGAGGGTGCACCCCCCTATCCACATCGACGGGACCGCAGTCGAGAAGGTGGAAAGCTTCAAGTTCCTTGGCATACACATCACTGACAAACTGAAATGGTCCACCCACGCAGACAGTGTGGTGAAGAAGGCGCAACAGACCCTCTTCAACCTCAGGAGGCTGAAGAAATTTGGCTTGGCACCTAAAACCCTCACAAACTTTTACAGATGCACAATTGAGAGCATCCTGTCGGGCTGTATCACCGCCTGGTACGGCAACTGCACCGCCCGCAACCGCAGGGCTCTCCAGAGGGTGGTGCGGTCTGCCGAACGCATTACCGGGGGCAAACTACCCGCCCTCCAAGACACCTACAGCACCCGATGTCACAGGAAGGCCAAAAAGATCATCAAGGACATCAACCACCCGAGCCACTGCCTGTTCACCCCGCTATCATCCAGAAGGCGAGGTCAGTACAGGTGCATCAAAGCTGGGACCGAGAGAATTAAAAACAGCTTCTATCTCAAGGCCATCAGACTGTTAAATAGCCATAACAAGCACATTAGAGGCTGCTGCTCCCTATTGAAATCACTGGCCACTTTAAGAAATTGAACACTAGTCACTTTAATAATGTTTACATATCTTGCACTTCTCATCTCATATGTATATACTGTATTCTATTCTATAAAATTCTACTGTATCTTAGTCCATGCCGCTCTGTCATTGCTTGTCCATATACAGTATGTATATATTCTTAAATTCCATTCCTTACTAGATATGTGTGTATAGGGTATATGTTGTGGAATTGTTAGATATTACTTGTTAGATATTACTGCATTGTCGGAGCTAGAAGCACAAGCATTTCGCTACACCCGCAATAACATCTGCTAAACACGTGTATGTGACAAATAAGATTTGATTTGATTTGATTTGAAACATAGAATTAGAATTACTAGAATAGACAAAGCCACATCATTTCTAGGGCTGTATTTTTGTGTCATGGACTATTATTAATATAGTAATCTGATCAGTCATAGATCATAGTTAGAATATAGCATAGAATATATTGTATGTCATAAAGTGACACTATCTTTCTGTTTTTCTATTTACCGTGCCCTCATGTGTTGGATGTCTGCTCCATGTATTGGCTAGGTGTGCATGATGTCACAAGGAAGCTAGAATAGCCCTTGAGCTGTGCTAAAGTATTTATCATTGTCAAACTGAACTGTGAACACTGCTTATCTGCATTGGGTGCTAGGGGGTTGCTGGGGGGTGCTGATAGTAAGTAGTGCTGTCGTGACTCTATTCACCCCTTCCTCCCTCACTCCCTTTCTCTGTTTTTCTCCTTTCCTCTTCTCCTCTATCTCCCCTCTTTCACTGCTCACCCCCCCCCCCCCCTTCTTTTGTGTGACACACACACTTGCTCAGAGCTTGGCTGAGCGGTTTTGGCTGTGAGAAGGTTTGTAAGGAGTTGGCGTAACGCTTTAGAGAGCTTTCACTGTTCCCAGATAGTCAATGTCAGCCTGACCTTCTGCACAGTCAGCAGGAGAGCTCTGAAAGAGAGTGTTGTCCCTGTTAAATACTGTATACACACATTACACAGCCACTCTGGCCCAGAACAGGGCAGCACGGCTGGCCCTTAAATGTACACGGAGAGCTAACATTAATAATATGCATGTCAATCTCTCCTGGCTCAAAGTAGAGGAGAGACTGAATTTATCACTACTAGTATTTGTGAGAAGTATTGACATGTTGAATACACCTTATGGAACAGCAGGGACTGTGAAGAGAAACACACACAGACACATGCATACACACACAGACACATGCATACACACACACGATAACATATGGACTATACACACATACATATAGATTCTGTATTGTAGCTACAGTGGGGGAAAAAAGTATTTAGTCAGCCACCAATTGTGCAAGTTCTCCCACTTAAAAAGATGAGAGAGGCCTGTAATTTTCATCATAGGTACACGTCAACTATGACAGACAAAATGAGGGAAAAAAATCCAGAAAATCACATTGTAGCATTTTTAATGAAGTTATTTGCAAATGATGGTGGAAAATAAGTATTTGGTCAATAACAAAAGTTTCTCAATACTTTGTTATATACCCTTTGTTGGCAATGACACAGGTCAAACGTTTTCTGTAAGTCATCACAAGGTTTTCACACACTGTTGCTGGTATTTTGGCCCATTCCTCCATGCAGATCTCCTCTAGAGCAGTGATGTTTTGGGGCTGTCGCTGGGCAACACAGACTTTCAACTCCCTCCAAAGATTTTCTATGGGGTTGAGATCTGGAGACTGGCTAGGCCACTCCAGGACCTTGAAATGCTTCTTACGAAGCCACTCCTTCGTTGCCCGGGCGGTGTGTTTGGGATCATTGTCATGCTGAAAGACCCAGCCACGTTTCATCTTCAATGCCCTTGCTGATGGAAGGAGGTTTTCACTAAAAATCTCACGATACATGGCCCCATTCATTCTTTCCTTTACACGGATCAGTCGTCCTGGTCCCTTTGCAGAAAAACAGCCCCAAAGCATGATGTTTCCACCCCCCATGCTTCACAGTAGGTATGGTGTTCTTTGGATGCAACTCAGCATTCTTTGTCCTCCAAACACGACGAGTTGAGTTTTTACCAAATAGTTATATTTTGGTCTCCCAATCCTCTTCTGGATTATCCAAATGCACTCTAGCAAACTTCAGACGGGCCTGGACATGTACTGGCTTAAGCAGGGGGACACGTCTGGCACTGCAGGATTTGAGTCCCTGGCGGCGTAGTGTGTTACTGATGGTAGGCTTTGTTACTTTGGTCCCAGCTCTCTGCAGGTAATTCACTAGGTCCCCCCGTGTGGTTCTGGGATTTTTGCTCACCGTTCTTGTGATCATTTTGACCCCACGGGGTGAGATCTTGCGTGGAGCCCCAGATCGAGGGATATTATCAGTGGTCTTGTATGTCTTCCATTTCCTAATAATTGCTCCCACAGTTGATTTCTTCAAACCAAGCTGCTTACCTATTGCAGATTCAGTCTTCCCAGCCTGGTGCAGGTCTACAATTTTGTTTCTGGTGTCCTTTGACAGCTCTTTGGTCTTGGCCATAGTGGAGTTTGGAGTGTGACTGTTTGAGGTTGTGGACAGGTGTCTTTTATACTGATAACAAGTTCAAACAGGTGCCATTAATACAGGTAACGAGTGGAGGACAGAGGAGCCTCTTAAAGAAGAAGTTACAGGTCTGTGAGAGCCAGAAATCTTGCTTGTTTGTAGGTGACCAAATACTTATTTTCCACCATAATTTGCAAATAAATTCATAAAAAATCCTACAATGTGATTTTCTGGAAAATAAATTCTCAATTTGTCTGTCATAGTTGACGTGTACCTATGATGAATATTACAGGCCTCTCTCATCTTTTTAAGTGGGAGAACTTGCACAATTGGTGGCTGAATAAATACTTTTTTCCCCCACTGTATGTGGTAGTAGAGTAGTGGCCTGAGGGAACACACTTAATGTGTTGTGAAATCTGTTGTGAATGTATTGTAATGTTTTTTTAAATTGTATATAACTTATTGTTGCTGGATCCCAGGAAGAGTAGCTGCTGCCTTGGCAGGAACTAATGGGGATCCTTAATAAATACAAATACGGGCCTCCCGAGTGGCACAGCGGTCTAAGGCACTGCATCACATTGCTTGAGGCGTCACTACAGACCCATGTTCGATCCCGGGCTGTGTCACAGCCGGCCGTGACCGGGAGACCCATGAGGCGGCGCACAATTGGCCCAGCGTCGTTAGGGGAGAGTTTGGCCAGCCGGGATTTCCTTGTCCCATCGCGCTCTAGCGACTCCTTGTGGCGGGCCGAGCACCTGCAAGCTGACCAGGATCGCCAGCTGGACGGTGTTTCCTCTGAGACATTGGTGCGGCTGGCTTCCGGGTTAAGCGAGTAGTGTGTCAAAAAGCAGTGCGGCTTGGCAGGGTCGTGTTTCGGAGGATGCATGGCTCTCGACCTTCGCCTCTCCCGAGTCCGTTGTGGAGTTGCAGCGATGGGACAAGACTGTAACTACCAATTGATATCACGAAATTGGGGAGAAAAAGGGGTAAAAGTAAAAAAAAATATATATATATACAAATACTCACATACACAAAGACTCAGAGTCACAGATACTGTACACAGACATACACACTCACACAGATAGGGGGAGTGGCATGGCAGGTGACAGAGGACTGTAGATTCAGCCCTATAATGGACTCTGATCCACAGGTGGCCTGTTGGGATGGAATCAGCCAAGTAGCATCACAAAGTGTTCCAACGATGGACTCCGTCTGTCTGCCTGCCTGTCTGTCCACGGCCTATCTGCCCTCCTATCCGTCTCTCCCCTCCCTCCCTTCTCCATGTTTCTCCCAGTATAGCCAGCACCATGTCTCACCCAGTATAGCCAGCACCATGCCATCCTTCAGCACCTCCATGGACCCGGAGCAGACGAAGAAGATGGCCTGCAGGGCGTCCCCCTGGCGCAGCAGGTACTCCCCAGGGGCACAGAACGTGGTCTTGATATGCAGGGACAGGGAGCGCAGGCACCCTCTGCTGGCCGAGGCAAACAGTGACAGCTCCAGGATCTCCTTGTTCAAGTGCATGGTGATGTCAGAGCGCAGCTCGTCTGGGAAGTCCTTCAGCAGCTAAGAGGGGTGATGGTGGAAGGGGGAGGGAGAGAGAGAGATGGAGACAGAGAGATTGTTAGACATGGCACGATTGCATTTGCCCGTAAATTGCTATCTTGGTCAGGACCCTCTCAAAAAAATTGATTATTCATCTCAAGGGACTTCCTGATTTTAAAAAAGGTTAAAAACGGTCAGCTAAATAAATACAATTTTAAAAGTGATGATGTCACCACAAATCAGCATGTCTAAGGCCACTTTGAATAAAGGCACTTTGGTGAAAATATTGCAAGTGTTTGCAATAAGTTGTGCTGACTTTAGGTTGTGCTGCATGGAGTGAGTTGAACTTTGGACCCAGCACAACTGGGGGTATCTTAAACAAACCATATTGAAAGAAGGCATAATGATACAACAGCACCACACACCAGCGACCTGTATTCATAAAGCATCTCAAAGTATGACTATCTACTCATCTAGGATCAGTTTTTCCTTACATATTATATTGAATGGACAAGGTGAACCTGATCCTAGATCAGCCCTCCTACTTTGACCCTATATTGAGACCTCTGCCTACACACTTATTCCCACCAGGAAACACCAGCTACATTACTGTGACATTCATCTCCAACATCTAATCATCCCTGACACACAACATCCGTCAGTCTCTGTTTCAGCAAATAGCAGAAAAGTGCTGAACAGAACATATCAATGAGTCATCATGACAACAGAGGCCCACTTTAATCAACAGGCCTATCTATAATTCATACATCTGTGATTCATCTCCCTGCCCTATCTGAATGCTCTGCTCTGTTATGTGTCTGCTGTCTGTCTCAAAGCAAACAGCTCATGAGGCATGATGGGCCACTGTCTCTCTCTTTGTCCTGCTTTGTAGCTCAGTTTATCCATCTCTCACGCGCTTTCTCTCTTGTTCTCTCTTTCACCACCCCTCTCTCTTTTTTATACATTTTCAGCCAAACTTCTTCATTGTCTACACTCTCATCATCAAGCCCTTGATAGTTGAATCAGGTGTGATAGTGTCGGGCTGGAACAAAAACCTGTAATAACACTCTCCCACACAGGGTGTTCAGATTGCTCACCTCGTTGGAGTCGATGCCGTTGTTGACGGACCATGTGGTCTGGAAGTACTCCAGCATGCGCTGTTTGAGGCCCTGGGGCAGGTGGTGGACCCGGATGAAGTCCTTCAGGTCCTTGGTGCGGGTGTGGTACTGGGACCAGCGAGAGTACATCCTCTGAATAATGGCTGTCACGTTACCAAACACCAGGGCGTGCATCAACGCTGGAGGGGGAGGGTTGGAGGGAAAGAGGGAGGTGGGAAGGGAGGGACAGACAGACAGGAGGAGGGATTGGTGGGCAGGCAGGCCGAGCACAGACAGACAGGAGGAGGGATTGGTGGGCAGGCAGGCCAAGGACAGACAGACAGGAGGAGGGATTGGTGGGCAGGCAGGCCGAGCACAGACAGACAGGAGGAGGGATTGGTGGGCAGGCAGGCCAAGGACAGACAGACAGGAGGAGGGATTGGTGGGCAGGCAGGCAGGCCGAGGACAGACAGACAGGAGGAGGGATTGGTGGGCAGGCAGGCCAAGGATAGACAGACAGGAGGAGGAATTGGTGGGCAGGCAGGCCGAGGACAGACATACAGGAGGAGGGATTGGTGGGCAGGCAGGCCGAGGACAGACAGACAGGAGGAGTGATTGGTGGGCAGGCAGGCCGAGGACAGACATACAGGAGGAGGGATTGGTGGGCAGGCAGGCCGAGGACAGACAGACAGGAGGAGTGATTGGTGGGCAGGCAGGCAGGCCGAGGACAGACAGACAGGAGGGAGGTTTGGAAAATAGGGTTTTGGTGGGGATCAATTAGGAGTTAGAGGGGCATGATATTGGGAGGTGGGTTTGGGGTTAGAGTGGGAGTAACATTGGGTTTGGGTGGTCAAATTTGGAGTTGGATGGGCAAGATATTTAGAGGTGGGGTATGATATTTAGAGGTGGGGCATGAGATTGAGAGGTGGGGCATGAAATTTAGAGGTGGGCATGAGATTGAGAGGTGGGGCATGATATTGAGAGGTGGGGCATGAGATTTAGAGGTGGGGCATGAGATTGAGAGGTGGGGCATGAGATTGAGAGGTGGGGCATGAGATTGAGAGGTGGGGCATGAGATTGAGAGGTGGGGCATGAGATTTAGAGGTGGGGCATGATATTGAGAGGTGGGGCATGAGATTTAGAGGTGGGGCATGAGATTGAGAGGTGGGGCATGAGATTGAGAGGTGGGGCATGAGATTGAGAGGTGGGGCATGATATTGAGAGGTGGGGCATGAGATTTAGAGGAGGGGCATGACATTGAGAGGTGGGGCATGAGATTGAGAGGTGGGGCATGAAATTTAGAGGTGGGCATGAGATTGAGAGGTGGGGCATGATATTGAGAGGTGGGCATGAGATTGAGAGGTGGGGCATGATATTGAGAGGTGGGGCATGAGATTTAGAGGTGGGGCATGAGATTGAGAGGTGGGGCATGAGATTGAGAGGTGGGGCATGAGATTGAGAGGTGGGGCATGATATTGAGAGGTGGGGCATGAGATTTAGAGGTGGGGCATGAGATTGAGAGGTGGGGCATGAGATTGAGAGGTGGGGCATGAGATTGAGAGGTGGGGTATGAGATTGAGAGGTGGGGCATGAGATTTAGAGGAGGGGCATGACATTGAGAGGTGGGGCATGAGATTGAGAGGTGGGGCATGAGATTTAGAGGTGGGGCATGAGATATTAGGTGGGGCATGAGATTGAGAGAAAATAAAAAAATAATGGGAAAGATTTACTAGAGGTTAATAATTCAATTTCCCCTTTACACACACTCGGTCTGACCTATGCTTCACTATACACACTATCCAGGCTGGCTAGGTGTTTGTTTCCATCTCACACACACTGGGGGTAGACAGGGGAGATAGGGCGTATGGGACACACACATACACACACACATCCCTTACTTCTCTATTCTCCCTGTGTGTGTGTGTGTGTGTGTGTGTGTGTGTGTGTGTGTGTGTGTGTGTGTGTGTGTGTGTGTGTGTGTGTGTGTGTGTGTGTGTGTGTGTGGTGTGTGTGTGTGTGAGTGCCCCCAGGCAGTCGGGGACATTTAACACAGCTAGGCTCATGAGCATTCAAAGGGAGAACACTTGCCACTGTGACCTCATTCAAACCCACAGCCCAAAACGTCTCTGGTTTGGACCAGATAAAAACAACCAGAACCAGTCCAAACCAGCAGAACAGCCACAAGACCAGTCCTTATCACAGTAAAACTAGATAAAACCAGACAAAGCTAAAAATATGAACATTACCTCACATACAGTGGGGAAAGAAAGTATTTAGTCAGCCACCAATTGTGCAAGTTCTCCCACTTAAAAAGATGAGAGAGGCCTGTAATTTTCATCATAGGTACACGTCAACTATGACAGACAAATTGAGAAAAAAAATCCAGAAAATCACATTGTAGGATTTTTAATGAATTTATTTGCAAATTATGGTGGAAAATAAGTATTTGGTCACCTACAAACAAGCAAGATTTCTGGCTCTCACAGACCTGTAACTTCTTGTTTAAGAGGCTCCTCTGTCCCCCACACGTTACCTGTATTAATGGCACCTGTTTGAACTTGTTATCAGTATAAAATACACCTGTCCACAACCTCAAACAGTCACACTCCAAACTCCACTATGGCCAAGACCAAAGAACTGTCAAAGGACACCAGAAACAAAATTGTAGACCTGCACCAGGCTGGGAAGACTGAATCTGCAATAGGTAAGCAGCTTGGTTTGAAGAAATCAACTGTGGGAGCAATTATTAGGAAATGGAAGACATACAAGAGCACTGATAATCTCCCTCGATCTGGGGCTCCACGCAAGATCTCACCCTGTGGGGTCAAAATGATCACAAGAACGGTGAGCAAAAATCCCAGAACAACACGGGGGGACCTAGTGAATGTCCTGCAGAGAGCTGGGACCAAAGTAACAAAGCCTACCATCAGTAACACACTATGCCGCCAGGGACTCAAATCCTGCAGTGAAAGACGTGTCCCCCTGCTTAAGCCAGTACATGTCCAGGCCCTTCTGAAGTTTGCTAGAGTGCATTTGGATTATCCAGAAGAGGATTGGGAGAATGTCATATGGTCAGATGAAACCAAAATATAACTTTTTGGTAAAAACTCAACTTGTCGTGTTTGGAGGACAAAGAATGCTGAGTGGCATCCAAAGAACACCATACCTACTGTGGAGCATGGGGGTGGAAACATCATGCTTTGGGGCTGTTTTTCTGCAAAGGGACCAGGACGACTGATCCGTGTAAAGGAAAGAATGAATGGGGCCATGTATCGTGAGATTTTGAGTGAAAACGTCCTTCCATCAACAAGGGCATTGAAGATGAAACGTGGCTGGGTCTTTCAGCATGACAATGATCTCAAACACACCGCCCGGGAAACGAAGGAGTGGCTTCGTAAGAAGCATTTCAAGGTCCTGGAGTGGCCTAGCCAGTCTCCAGATCTCAACCCCATAGAAAATCTTTGGAGGGAGTTGAAAGTCTGTGTTGCCCAGCGACAGCCCCAAAACATCACTGCTCTAGAGGAGATCTGCATGGAGGAATGGGCCAAAATACCAGCAACAGTGTGTGAAAACCTTGTGAAGACTTACAGAAAACGTTTGACCTGTGTCATTGCCAACAAAGGGTATATAACAAAGTATTGAGAAACTTTTGTTATTGACCAAATACTTATTTTCCACCATCATTTGCAAATAAATTCATTAAAAATCCTACAATGTGATTTTCTGGATTTTTTTTCCTCATTTTGTCTGTCATAGTTGACGTGTACCTATGATAAAAATTACAGGCCTCTCTCATCTTTTTAAGTGGGAGAACTTGCACAATTGGTGGCTGACTAAATACTTTTTTTCCCCACTGTACCTCATTCTGAATAGTTTTTATATGCATTAATTGTGATGTGTGTGTGTGCCCGTTGTGTGTGTGTGCCCGTGTGTGTGTGTGCCCGTGTGTGTGTGTGTGTGTGTATCTCCCCTACCTCCGATGAGCATGGTGCAGATGGAGAAGATCTTCTCAGCGTCGGTGTTGGCCGACACGTTGCCGAAGCCCACGCTGGTCAGACTGGACAGGGTGAAGTAGAGGGAAGCGATGTAGACACTCCTCAGAGAGGGACCGCTCAGCCCCGTCCCGTTCACCTCCCCCAGGAGGTCGTAGGGAGACTCCAGACGCTTCCCCAACTCATGGAGCCAGCCTGGAGACAGAGAGGAGGGAGGGAAACACATGGGCTTTGTTACAATTCTCTAGCCTTCTCTCGCTCAAAGTGTACACTCGTACTCTCCCTCTCATGACTTAGAAGAAGTGTAATGAATATGGTGGAAACGTCCTCCAGTCATGATTGTGAGAGGTAGAGAATCAGAACGCAGCCATAGGATTTGTCCTAAATGTCGTCATTTGCTCTATATAGTGCACTACTTTTCACCAGAGCATTGAACTACATAGGGCAGGGGTCTCCAACAGGTTGATTGTAAGCTACCAACAGCTCGCAGCCCACCTATGAGTAACTCGCCAAACAATTCTGCATGCATTTTTCACGTGTTCCACCACAAACTGTCATAAACAAATATCACAAGTATCAGACACCTCAAGCTCCCAGCTACTATCCAATCAAACCACATTGTATTTGATCCCGCCCCTGGTTAGCCACAATTGACTTAAAAACTAACACAATATCTGGCAATTAATTTCCAGCAATATTGCCCCTGTATGTCTGTGTGGTGCGCGCGTTTGTCTATTATTCACTTTGTGTCGCCAGTTAGTGTTAATGATAACTGTCTTCTGGTTGGACAGAAAGAGAAAAATAACTTTTCCACATTTTGTTACGTTACAGCCTTATTCTAAAATGGATAAAATCAATAAAAAAACGAATAAATCTACACACAATACCCCATAATGACAAAGCAAAAACAGGTTTTCCAAAAATTTTGCAAATGTATTAAAAATAAAAAACAGAAATACCTTATTTACATAAGTATTCAGACCCTTTGCTATGACACTCAAAATTGAGCTCAGGTGCATCCTGTTTCCATTGATCATCCTTGAGATGTTTCTACAACTTCATTGGAGTCCACTTATGGTAAATTCAATTGATTGGATATGATTTGGAAAGGCACACACCTGTCTGTATAAGGTCCCACAGTTGACAGTGCATGTCAGAGCAAAAACCAAGCCATGAGGTCGAAGGAATTGTCCGTAGAGCTCTGAGAC